ATATATATATATATATATATATATATATATAATTTTTTTCTTTAAATTTTAATTGCAAAGATCCTAGGAATAGCCCCTCCACAAATGGAGATAAGGTTGTGTACATATCTACATCTACCTACCCCTGAAATAAGATCTTTGTGCACTTGGTTTCCTGATTGCCTCTTCTTTTAAGATCTAAGATCTGATTTTAGGGGGGAGGGTAGGCTAAAGTTCATGCAAAGTGGTCTAGATGGTAAGTTGTATCAAGATCAAGCCAGATGTCCCCTTTTCCCAAAAACTACCCTATGGTTCTTGGACTCTGCAAAGTTTTATTTTATCAAGGGATGATAAAAGTACTGCTATCTTAAAATAACTGGTACAAATACATGTGCATCAGTGCATCACTGTAGCTTCATCATCTTTCTATACCAATATATATAAAGGTGATACCAACTTTTAGTGTACACATTTCTTGGTCCATTTTATCCTTTAATTGATACTAATGTTGTTGGAGATCCCACATCATCTAGTGAGATAACCATACTAGTATATATAGGTGGAGAGTCATCCCTACTTTATAAGCTGATTTTGTAAGATTGAGTTAGGCTCTAATTCACTTTCAAGAGATGCATTGTAACTGCACACACTCTATTCCCCTATTTTAGATTATTTTTTGAAGTAGTGCTACGTTATTAATTAATTGCTCACATTCTTCTTATCTTACGAAAAATAAAAAAATGCAGATAGATAGGTGCTACAGTATCTGTCATTCCTTTAATTGATATTAATGTTGATGGAGATCCCACATCATCTAGTGAGATGACCATACTAGTATATATAGGTGGAGAGTCATCCCTACTTTATAAGTTGGTTTTGTAAGATTGATTAGGTTCTAATTCACTTTCAAGAGATGCATTGTAACTGCACACACTCTATTCCCCTATTTTAGTTTCCTTTTTGAAGTAGTGCTACGTTATCAATTAATTGCTCACATTCTTCTTATCTTAAGAAAAATAAAAAAATGCAGATAGATAGGTGCTACAGTATCTGTCATTCCATTACTTTTTCTAATCTCTCTTCCCCCCCGGTATCTTTGTAAGTCAATTCTCCATATTTCTTCTGCTGATGCAGCTTTCAGAAATCACCATGCCCAGTATATTGGCTGCATCAATATTTTCAGCACAGAGTGGTGAGACTGTGGCATTCTCTAGGAATGCACTATTTTTGGTTCTTCTGTGTTTCACTTCAGGAATTTGCAGGTGATTCTTGTAGAGCTTTATTTCTGCTTAACCTATTTTTAATCACTCTTTCTGATACCTCTACAATGACTAGTAACGTGGTTATCCAAGGGACAACAGGACCAACTTAATGCACCCTAAAATAATCAAGGAGCTTGTCTTCCTCACTTCTCAGTAACCAGGGCTACTTCATACTGTAAAAATAGGAGTTTTCTGATCTCTAAACTCTGAAAATGCATGACCTAATTGTTAGAAGATAAAACCTTGTGTGAAGTGCCTAATGCATTATTCTGTGTTAATTATGCAACTGTCCATACAAGGAACAATTTACTCAATTTTTTTATATGAACTATCTGTCATATTGAGTTGGTGGCTATTTTATTCCCCCATTTGAATTTCAGTGGTCTGCGAAGTGGCTGCTTTGGAATTTTGAATGTAACTTTGGTGAGTGTTTCTTCATCTCAACCCATGTTCGATTAACATTTTGGTGGCTCAACTTTCATATGCTAGGATTTTTTTTTCTTAATTTGTGCATCCTGCATGAAGTATTGTTATGAATCGTTGTGAATTTTGTACCGGAAGATACAATCTGTGGAGCTCATCTAGGATGTTGCTCAGGCCAATGTTTGACAGTAGGTAGAGTTTGTTTAACAGAGAAGTATTGGAGAAGATATGTGCAACCATGTGCATTCTCATTTTTGCTGTTAATGGGTTTACATGATATATTCTTCTTCATTTGTCCATCTTGCCTGAACTATTGCTATGAATCATTGTGAATTTTGTATTGGATGACACAGTCTGTGGAGCACATCTAGGATGATGCTCAGGCCAATGTTTGACAATAGGTAGAGTTTGTTTGATAGAGAAGTATTGGAGACTTGGCCATCCTCATTCTTGCTGTTAATGGGTTTACATGATATTTTTTTTTGTTGGTTAAGTGTTCTAATGGAAATTCTTTTATGCTTTTAGTGTTTGTCTAATAATAGGAATTTAGGTTCTTTATCTTGCCCACAAAACTTCAAAATTTTTTTTTTCCACTCAAATGAGTTCTTTCCTTATCTCTAGGTACTTTTCATGCCTTTTTCTTTTTTGTTGCTTTCCTTTCCAATGGATGATCATTCCTCTAGATGCTTAAAGTCCTTTTTTCATTGGATCAGTTTTTCAATTGGTTGTTCATATTAATCTTTGTTATGCAGTGGTCAAGTACAATCAAAGCATTGCAGCCATGTTATTTTTTTCCTTGTTTACCTCTTTTTTGGTTTTACCTTTGTGAAAAAATGTGAAAGGAAATTTTTCTGAATGTGCTTGAGTGATTTTTCCACCCAAAAGAAAGGACTTTTATTTATTTATTTTTATTTTCAAGAGTATTACAAGGATAATTTATACCAAGACAATTTAGAAGAGAACAATTAAGATATCACTACTGATGAAACTAGTGAAGAGATGCATGGTGAATCTTCTCAACTAGTTTTGTTGATGCTCCAATATTTATTTAATATTTATGGATCTCCAAGCTTCAAAGATGAACCAAAAGTTGTGGGAAGTTGAGGAAGATGGTGCGCCTCTCCCTTAGGAAGATAAGCAAGAGGTGAAGAACTTGGCACAAGGAAAAATTTCTTGATAAAAGTTCATAAAGAAGAAATGCTCCAAGATGAGAACTAAGAGCTTTTAAGAGAGAATTTGGAAATCAAATTCTTATTCCACTCAAAAGTGACGAAATTACATAGGAAGGAGTCTATATATAGAGTTTGGTAGCTTGTAGTGCAAGTTAAACTAACCATGGTTACAACTAACCAATGTTAGATTAACTTGTACTCAAGACTACTAACTCCTGTTACATTTTTGAATTTGAATTTCCCACCTAAAAATGTCACTATCCTAGATCTAAAAGAACCAATGATAACATGCCATATGACAAGCTGCAAAGGTGTGATTAGATGTCAACATCCTATATCTAGAAGAGTCAATAAGAGCATGTCATATGGCAAGGTGCTAAAAGTGTGACTAGGTGTAACATGTGATTTGTTGGAGCTTGAATGAACCATGAAAGGTGTGATATACTCCTTTTGGACGTCCACCTTGGGGCCATGTACTCCCCACTCTCTCATGGGCCAATCAAGCCCAATAAGCACATATCCCATTACTAGTTACACTTTCCTAAAATACTAATTACATCCCTAAAAAGAAAATTACAAGAAAATAAATTTTTACACTATTTGACTCATAAAATACAAGGTTAAAATTAATAAAATATGTTAAATTTCATCTTAAAACCAATTGGCATTAAGTGAAGCTGTCCAATAGATATATAAACCGTACCCAGAGAATTGAGGCAGGTGATGTAGGGCTTCTCAATACCCCCTTCCATGGGTGCTTGGCAAACTAGGTGATGCCTACCAAAATAGGCAAATGAAGAAGATAAGCTCTAGGCTTTGATACCATACAATTGAGGCCTTTTGGGAGATAACCAAAAGCACAACTATGATGATTTAGATTCAAAGTGGACAATATCATATCAATGTAGACATGTGTATGGGGTACCTTAACAAGTGGTGTTGTCCGTGGGATTGTGATACAAATTAATAAGATCCTCTCTTTCAACTAAATATTTTCAAGGAAAAATATTTATAAAGAAGAGAAAGTAGACTACTAAAAGTGACCCAAAGCTCAATAAGAGTTCGAGCCTTTTTTCTTTAAGTCTATCTCGCTCCTCTTGGCTTGTTTTGAAATTTGAACCTGGTCTCATGGCATAATATCATCAGCTACTTCCTAAGATGCATTGAACCGAGTTGTACCAGGTATCTAGGCTACTTAGAAAAATGAACATTAAAGCTCGTATCTCTTAATTATTCCTATTTTCAATAGTTTCCTATTGTGCTTATAGCAGTTCATATATGTTCTTAAGGAACTGTTAGCTGCATTGACTAGTGGAGAAAGATAGCTTAGCTCCTTACAACCAGTGATGTTTGGAAATTTTAGGAAAGATTTAAAAGGAAGAAAGAAGAAAAAGAAAGGCTGTAGGTACAGCCAACCCAATGAAAACACTATAGATTTTTCCCCCTCCTCTTCACCTTTACACAGTGATCCTTTTATGATCCACACCCACTCAGTTAGGTGATTTGATCACCATTCGCTCTCTAGGCCATGGCTAAACTACTCTTTTGGTCCATTATCAATTACATCAACTCCTTGTTGCCTCCTAGAATAAACATGCCTAATACATTCATTCATTTCATTTTTTTCGTGGTTATACCTGTTGGGGTAAGGATGTTTCAATGATCTTTTCAGTTCAGTTTCACCAATGTCCTTGGTATGAAGATTGTGTAAAAGGAATTTCAATGTTCAGCCACCACAGAAAATTCCGGAGGACCTGAAGGAAATTGAAGGCTTAAATTGGTTTTGATTAACTTTTAAAGTTGGTTCAGTCTTCAAGGTTAAGGGAGAGTTACTTTGACTTATTTTAGTTTAGAATCTCCCCTTTTGTGCAGAAGTTTTGAAGGTTTTCATTAAGGTAGGGATTTTTTTTGGGTGGTTTGCTTATCAGTTTAACTATATGGATCAACTCTTTTTGGTTTCTTGTGTGGGTTTTTCTAGTTTATTATCTCTCAGCTTTGTGGTTTCCATTGAACATTTTGTACTTTTTTCCCTTGTATTATGATAACTTTTTTCTTCTTGTTTTTTACCATAAAAAATGATGTTATGATATTTTGGGTTCGTTCTTGCATTCTTTTCAGGAGAATTTTCAACCTAGAACAAGCCATGAGGAATGTTGGACCAAGACAAAATGCTTAATAAAGAATGGTTAAACTGCTTATTAACACAATTACCAACCTTTTCTTATCCATTTCTCTGATGCTCCAACATTTCCATTAAGTCATAAGACTTGAAAATTTTCCCTTGCCTTTTTAATAAATAAATTCAATTTCTGTATTCACTATTTCTTTGTGCAATTTCAATTTTCTACATTGATTAAATCATTTATTCCATGTGTATAACTGCTTGGAATTGCCCGCTTCTCGTAGTTCTATTGCTATTGTAGAACATTTCTCCCCCTCTAGTGTTATGCGTTATTCTTTATAGCAATGTTCATGTTGTCTAAGATTCAGTTTATATTTTTGGCCTATGTGAAAAGGATATTGTATTGGTTGTTCAATAGGACTTAGGCATAAATGTGTTTGCTTATCATGATTGATTAATTGTTAAGAATACATCTTGTTTTAGTAAACATAAAACTCAATGTTTCTCATTTCATGTGAAAACATGATCTAATAGATTATCAAATGTTGGTAATAGATTACAAAGTGTTTTGACATAAAATGAAACGTGATTCATTCAAAAGGATTCAAGATTAAGTCAGGTAATAGATTACTGAAGCTTAGTTTTGAAGTGGAATTTGAAGTCCTCTCTATAATAATAGATTACCAATTGAAGTAATAGATTATCATGGTGAATTTTGAGTGAAACATGTTGAAAAAGCATCAGGTTAATCAATTACTAATATCAGTGATTGATTACCTCTGCACAAAAATACTAAGTTTTATAGTTTATGGAACACATGTTAATTGATTATCAGGAATAGTAATCAATTACCACAATGTTTGACTCTATATGATTTCAGTTTCATTAAAGGCTAGTAATAGGTTACCTATTCTAGTAATAGATCACTGCTGTTACGAGTTTTAATGTTGAAAACTTGTTTACTCTATAAATATAACTCTTTTCAAAAACTTAAAAGAGATGGTGATTAGATATGATTAGAGAGATCAAGAAAGAAAGAAAGAATTTTTTTTTTTTTTGTGATTTGAAAAACATTTTGAGAGAAGATCAAATCAAACTTTTTTAGAAAATTGCAAGAGCAAGATTGAAACAAGAAAGATGTTTTCTTGAAAGAATTTCAAAGAACTTCAAAGATAATGAGAGATGTGTGAAAATGAGAGGTGAGGGGCGTTATTTATAGGATTTCAGGCTCACCTACCGGAACGGCCCGTTCCAAAAGTGGAACGCCCGTTCTGGACCCTTCAAATCTACGCAAATTTTTGAACTGGAACGGCCCGTTCCAAAACCAGAACTCTTTGAAATTTTGAGGGGTGTTTCCAATCCACTCATTCAAATGATATCTAACCCCTCAATATGGTGCTAAGAATCCTGGACCATTAGTATATCTCACATCCATAAGATAGTACTTGTTGAGTTTGAAGCCCTCTTGAAGATCTTTGTGAAGATTGAAGATGAAGTTTTAGTTTTGATGTAGCTGTATTTATCTTTGTTTAGCTTTGATTTAGTTTGCTTTATTTTATATTTTTGGCCTATGTGAAAAGGATATTGTATTGGTTGTTCAATAGGACTTAGGCATAAATGTGTTTGCTTATCATGATTGATTAATTGTTAAGAATACATCTTGTTTTAGTAAACATAAAACTCAATGTTTCTCATTTCATGTGAAAACATGATCTAATAGATTATCAAATGTTGGTAATAGATTACAAAGTGTTTTGACATAAAATGAAACGTGATTCATTCAAAAGGATTCAAGATTAAGTCAGGTAATAGATTACTGAAGCTTAGTTTTGAAGTGGAATTTGAAGTCCTCTCTATAATAATAGATTACCAATTGAAGTAATAGATTATCATGGTGAATTTTGAGTGAAACATGTTGAAAAAGCATCAGGTTAATCAATTACTAATATCAGTGATTGATTACCTCTGCACAAAAATACTAAGTTTTATAGTTTATGGAACACATGTTAATTGATTATCAGGAATAGTAATCAATTACCACAATGTTTGACTCTATATGATTTCAGTTTCATTAAAGGCTAGTAATAGGTTACCTATTCTAGTAATAGATCACTGCTGTTACGAGTTTTAATGTTGAAAACTTGTTTACTCTATAAATATAACTCTTTTCAAAAACTTAAAAGAGATGGTGATTAGATATGATTAGAGAGATCAAGAAAGAAAGAAAGAATTTTTTTTTTTTTTGTGATTTGAAAAACATTTTGAGAGAAGATCAAATCAAACTTTTTTAGAAAATTGCAAGAGCAAGATTGAAACAAGAAAGATGTTTTCTTGAAAGAATTTCAAAGAACTTCAAAGATTATTAAGTTAATCTCTATGGAACATCATTCTATACAACATGTGTATTATTTCTGATCTTTAAACTTTGTTTTTACTACTGGGTATATGATTCTTTGAGATAAGGTGTCTCTAGAAGAGTGGAGAAATCTTAGGATAGGTTTTTCTCAAGTGAGTTCTTGTGGGGTGCAAGAATTCTTTGTTTGTGTAATCTTGTGGAACCAAGATTGTGTGATTTAGATTCTAATTATAATATTGCTTGTACATGATGTTTTTAAAGAATATTATAGTGGAATGACTTGATTTAGTGGGTGTTAAGTCAAAAACTGGATGTACGCCTTTGTATGGCTGAACCAGTATAGATCACTATGAAAATTCTCTCTTAACCTTCATACCTTGTTATAATTCTTGTTAAATTGATACAAAGAAATTTAAGAAATTAAAGAAATAATTTCTTTGAATATTATCAATTTCTTATTTGAAAATTTGAGTTTATCATATATGCAATTTGGTATTAAAGAAAGAAGGTAACTACTAAAATAAATTTGGATTACAAATAATTGTTCCGTTGTATTAAATATCGGCTGAAGGCCGATGCAAGCAGCATGATGCATTCCCGCATACTATGTATCGTCTCGGCCCAATGCCGATCCGATAGGATTACCAAGCAAACGTCTACCGGCATTAGCCTGTCGGCTCGGCAATGTGCCGATAGGTTAAACAGGTTATAATACAAATCATAGTTAACAAGGATAAGTGCATAATTAAGACATGATTATCTTATTAGCATCGTATTACCTAATTTGGTAAAGATTAGAATAGGCCCATCACGTTCAGGCCCATGTCAGGTATTATAAATAGGTCATACGTAACGAGGTACGTCACTGTTCATCAATTAACCTAGAATATCGTGCATATCCTAACTTGAGCGTCAGAGTACCTTTTGCAGGTACATCCCCCTTCTGGAGAGTCTGTTTAAAGCATCCGTTCGACCCTTTTCACTAAGAAGACTACGAGTGTACTCTCCAGCAGGTACACAAACCAGGAGTAACTCCGAAGAGACTTCGGGGAGCTCGAACTCTGAGTGGGAGAGCTCGGAGATAATAGGGAGAAGCTCGAATAGGACCAATGAGCATTCCGAGGAAGATGATGAACCTGAGCAGCTTAGAACTCGGAGCTTGCAAGACATCTACAACTCCACTGACGAGTTACATGTAGTATGTCTATTGACAGGAACAGAAGACATAAAATTTGAAGAGGTGGTACTTGATGAGAGATGGAAGAAAGAAATAGATGAGGAGATCAGATCAATTGAGAAGAGTGAGATGGGAAGCAAAGCTGAGCTAGTTGAGGAGTTTAAAGAAGTGATGAAGAGGGAGTTTGAGATGATTGATTTGGGCATCATGAAGTATTTTTTGGGTTTAGAGGTGGATCAAAGAACAACGGGTACTTTTGTGTCCCAAAAGAGGCATCGCCCACCGCGGCGTCGGGGGTGCTGGACGTCGTGTGGCTCGCGAGGCCATGGTACGCGGAGGAGTATCGCGCTCTGGTGGAAGAGGCATCAAAATGAAAAAAAAATTTAAGATTATGGGGGAGTTTTTGTTGGAAAATCTTAAATTTCTAGAGATTCCGAGATATCCGAGATATCCGATTTAAGTTATCTGGAATTATTTGATTTATCTTTTGAGTTATTTTGTTTCAGATTAGATAAGATAGTTTTTTGATTAGTTTTGATTTGATAAGATATTTTATTATCTTCTTGTTAGTTCAGTACGTTGTAAAATAGCTATTTAAAGGTCATCTCTTATTCAATAAAAAACACAGTGAGTTGCTACGTTCACCCACAACATTAGTATTACCTCGTCTCTCTTATTTTTCTACACATATGTCACCATCCAATGTTACATGCATCATTTTTCAGGTAAAGCATCTACGAGAAAACTTATATACAGCGATTCTTTTTCAGGTATGCATTTTACAAAATGAAAATATACAGTCTACTGGGTGTTCTTTGGAATATTTTTTGGTAAATTATGTGTTGTTTTTCTATATCTTTTTTTCTTTTCTTCTAGTTACCTATGGCATATGCTTGTATTATGTGTGATGTAGGACATATCGTATTTTGATAAAGAACGAGTTGGTGACTTGACAAGCAGGCTTGCAGCTGATTGTCAACGACTATCCCATGTTATAGGAAATGATCTTCAGCTTATATTACGCAACACTTGTCAGGTCTTAATTCTTACATTACACATGAATCTTTTATTTTTTTTATTTTTTTTAAATTCAATACTCTATCTTTCCCTCTGGTATTATCTGTTCTTTTATTTTATATCTAGGGAACAGGAGCAATAATTAATTTGATGGCTTTATCTTGGCCTCTGGCATTATCAGCCTTGGTGATTTGTTCTATTTTATCCGCAATTTTCCTGGTTTTTGGACAGTAAGCATCAGTAACATCTTCCCTATGTTAAACGTGTAGTTTTTCTTCATTATATTTTTTGTCTTTAGGTTCTCTTTTGTTGTTTTTTTTTAATCTCTCGTCTTCTTATCTGTTTGTTTTCATTTTCCTTTCATCTTAATGAAATTATTTTTGTATCCAAATAAAGCCTTTTGAATTTCTGATCCATGCTTAATTTGATTATGATTTCCTTCCCTCAGATTGGCTTTCTAGTTTTTTTTTTTTAATTGTTACATTGTATCCTTTCTATTATTGTTTGCTTAATGAATTGATATAAATTTATAAATAAGAAGTACAATTTTTTGCATAATAATCTAGTGAAGCGAAGTTATGCCAGTAAATTGCTGCTGACGTACACATCATCATGTTTGTCTCAGTTAGAAATTTTTTACAGTTCTATTTTGCCTTAATTTTGTATGAAATAGTTTTGCATAATGAGCTTTATGTAGTTTAAGTTTTTCTATAAATCTTCCTCTATGAGATGAAGGGTTTTCTTTGGAGCATTTAAAAATGAAAAAAAGTTGTCTAAGGTGATTACGCATATGCTTATATGTTTATAGATATAAATAATCCATAGATATTTTAACCCCGTGGTTTTATTCACACCTTTGTAGTGCTGATGGTCTGAAGCATGTATTTGTTGTTTTAATAGGTATCAAAGAAAGGCAGCAAAGTTAATCCAAGATTTCACAGCTTGTGCCAATGACGTATGCTCTATATACCAGAAGATATTGTTTCTGGAATAGTGACCAGAATCTCATTTTAATTATCAATACTTTTTCTATTGCAGGTTGCTCAGGAGACACTTTCTTCAATAAGAATTGTCCGAGCTTATGGAACATTAAAAAATGAATTTGGAAGGTGCCTTATTTTATTTTTTCTGTTAATATATATTCTTACTGAAAATCTATATTTATATTTTGACTTCATTGTTACTGTTGGAATATCTCATAATATCAGTATTATATCATAGAATATTTAAGTATCCAGAAATTTTTCCTAATTTCTTCATTTTCACATTTTCTAATATTTTATGATCTGCTTTCATATTTAATTTTGACTAATAATATAAGCAGGGAGTGCTTTATGTTTCATCATATTAAATATTGTAATATATCAAACTCACAGTACACTAGTAAATACTATTATTCTCTTTATTCTATTCTTTCCCTCTACACCTAAAACCACATACATAGAACAGTTACTTTAGTAGCATAGTAAAATGTACTCTTACCGGTTATCATCATCTTCCTGAAGCTTTTAATTGACATTAGACAGTAACCTATCCATTTATGCCAAGTTCAAGGATCCTACAGTCTTACCCTCTAAATTTCATGTTCTCCTGAACCAAAAATTAAACAAATTACAGGTGCGAACTGCACAAAATCCATACTGATTCAATTATAATAGCTTTAAAGGACTTGCAGAAGAAGAGTGATTGACTATTTTAGGAGCATAATATAATAGTGTTAAATTATTAACCACGAGATATTTTGAAAGCTTTAGCTGATAGGAAAGAATCATCTATGCTTCTTGTGTTTGATACTATACTAGATTGTATACGCAAGTTTGTCATTCATTTTCTAAATGGTTATATCTTTTCCAATAATACTGGTATCCATAATACTTATTCTATATTTATTCAGGTACCAGCATTGGCTACAGAGCTTGGCATTTATAAATGTTCGAGAGAGTGTGTCTTACGGGTTCTGGAACCTGATCTTTAACACCTTATACCGTTCAACTCAGGTTTAATCTCTCACTAAAACTGTCTGTCTCTGCCAATTCCTGCTATTCTTAACTAACAATCAGTAAGTATAACTAACAGAAACCTGCCCATTTGGGTTACCTAAAAGTTTCATAAACTGACTCAAAAGATTCCTTTATCCAGTCTATGAATGTTCTCCTTCTAAAGCATTCTCAGGCAATTTATTTTTTATGATCTTCTCAAAACCTTTGGTCATTGCATCATAAAAATCTCGCTCTTATATAGTGTTCTGAACTTGTTTTTGCGAGAATTTGAACTCCTAATGAACAAGGAAGCATGGACGGGCCTTCGGCCAGTCACATCCCCGGGTCGGAAATGGATCCAACACGGATGTGGTGTCGGACACAGCCCACACAAAGCCGATATGACCCAGTTGTCAAACACTCCGACATGAGCACAGCCCAACACCGACATGGGCACGGCCCAATACTCCAACCCATAGATTCATAGTTTTAAAAAAATCTTTTTAAGAAAAGAAAGAAGGAAGAGAATCTTTCTCTCTTTTCTCCTTACTTAACCTTCATGTAAGAGAATCAGAGTCAACGAATCAGAACATCGTTTAGCCTCCATCCACCATGCTAATTGAACCACCACACCGTCATGGCACAATAAAGTCTTCTCCTTTTTCATTTTCTCTAATCTCTAATCAATCATTGAAGTATGTTTGTGCTATATAAGTTGTTATTTCTTATCTTATTTTATCGATGTAGGACTTGTTTGTATCCCAACAATCAATCTTTCATGCAGCGGAATCTGTCTTTATATATCACATTATATGTTATGAGTTATGAGGGTTGTTACCACATCCAACCAGGCGACTCTGATACCAGAGGTTTAGTTACTCCGTTCAATAACTCATGTTCTACATCAAATTTTAACGATCTAACCGTTCAATATATATATATATATACGAAGAGGGATCCTTTTACTCTAGGAGTAAGTCTAGGTTTAGGGTTTAGTTACTCCGTTCAATAACTCATGTTCTACATCAAATTTTAACGATCTAACCGTTCAATATATATATATATATACGAAGAGGGATCCTTTTACTCTAGGAGTAAGTCTAGGTTTAGGGTTTAGTTACTCCGTTCAATAACTCATGTTCTACATCAAATTTTAACGATCTAACCGTTCAATATATATATATATATACGAAGAGGGATCCTTTTACTCTAGGAGTAAGTCTAGGTTTAGGGTTTAGTTACTCCGTTCAATAACTCATGTTCTACATCAAATTTTAACGATCTAACCGTTCAATATATATATATATATACGAAGAGGGATCCTTTTACTCTAGGAGTAAGTCTAGGTTTAGGGTTTAGTTACTCCGTTCAATAACTCATGTTCTACATCAAATTTTAACGATCTAACCGTTCAATTTAAAGTTCTTAATGTATAGATCAAATCTACAAATTTTTAGAAAATTTGAAAAACATTTGATACTTCGTTTCATTAATTCGAATGAATGTATAAAATGATTTTATGATTATTCGTCAATTTGAATTAATGAAATGAAGTATCAAATTCTTTCAAAATTTCTAAAAATTTGCAGAATTGATCTATGCATTATGAACTTTAAATTGAATGATTGGATCATTGAAATTTGATGTAGAACATGAGTTATTGAACGGAGTAAGTCTAGGTATACAGTATATAT